GGGGGGGGGGGGGGTAGGTAGAAATACTCCTGGTGACTTCTTGGTATGGAAACCCAAGATACCCACTAGCCTGAAGTGCCACTAGGCTTGAACGAGGACTTAACCCGTATGTCACTACTAGATACTACTTTTCTAAGGTTTGTTAGCATTGGGCGTGAACTTAAGATGACAATCCAATAGTATTTGAATAACTATGAAATAATCTCCTGGTTATAGTCCTTTGCTGTGTGATACTTTGGTTGTTTTGGTTCAACTGCACAATTTTTGCTTTGCAGGAAGAAGAGTACTTCTGTTTCAGGGGTAAGAAGATTAGAGTACACTAAATGTTCTGTTTACAGCATGAGTAGTTTAAAGTCTGTTATCAAAGCTTCAGTTCAGTTGGCTTTGCAAGTGCGACATACATGTAGGTATCAATCAATAAAAACTTATTGTAGCTGTAAATGAAATCCTGAATCTTGGGTGAGCTACAGAGTTTTTCAATATATATTGAATTTATTATTTTTTACAAGGTTAAAACAAAACCACCAATAAACTAGTGTTATTAGCAGGACTTTCATCAGGGGCTGGGCACTGGGCAAATTGACCTGCTGTGAGGATGATTTTGCCTTCCTGGTTTGACCATCTACAGAAATTTTTCTTATAATTAAGTTCAGTTAAAAAGTTTCTCCTTCTGTGAAAACCAGTTGCCCTTCTGCTGAAAATGTTATTGAAATGACTGGTTATTGGTATTTTAAGTTTGCCACATCAAAAACTACATGTAGGTCACCCTAGTCTTTGAAATTCAAATTGTTAATTATTATGTAACAGAATATAAGTCCCATTTTATGGTAATCCTAGTATAATCACATTTAGAAATTCTGGTAGGAAATTATGCATGTTAATCCATGTTAATTATTATTGATAACTTGTTGATATTCAATTATCTCTCTAGTCTAAAAAGCGAACACCAAGCAAAAGAGTGAAGCAACTTCTTCGAGAATCTGTGCAGGACAAAGCTAAAAAGGATGAGAGAGCTAAGAAGGAAGAAAAAGAGAAGAAAGTTGCAGATCCATCGGCCAAGAAGGAAATCAAAAAAGCTGAGAAAAAGAACAAAAAAGTCAAGGTATGGTTCTCAGTCTCAAAAACCAAGAGGTCAAGAACAAAGCTGAAATAGTTTTCCAGAAAATAACTTATTGTTTGAATCCTGCAATGATACTATCCTAATGGAACATGAAAATCAAGTTGACAGTTTGCTTGAGACAGCATTTGCAAGGATTTAAATTCAGTTTGTTGTGACATGGAGAAACAGGACAATATGAACACAAACAGGCAAGCTCTTTGGCATTCTATAATGCAGAGTACAACAGATGTTCAGTGTTATCTCTATTACTAATTATATTTTGGTCCTTGAAAGTGCCTGAATTTTTGGTTCCCAAAAGGGTATGAACTAATTTTCAAATATTCATATATTTGTATTCACACATGACATGTTGAAATGCTGACATTTGAGCCAGCTGGTATGTAGAACAAAGTGCCAAGAACAAAGGAAAGGCTCAAATTACCTGACTTCTGAACACATTTTCAATCAATTATATAGTAATGTTTGGGAAAGGAACCAAAAATCACATATTAAATAACTTTTAATCTCAAAATAAGTGCGCTATAGCCTATGTTTAGATGGCAAAACAGAAATTATTGTTCCTGAGGGATAACAGTTTCACGCAGTTACTAAGGCCTTCTTGTATATTTATATTTTGACTCAGGTAACATTCAGATTTTCCACAGAAAAATACAAGCTTTGTTACCTATTAACTAGCCATGTCCTTCATCATTTTGATGAGCTGATCATGCAAAATGATGATGTGTACATGTCCTAAATGTCCAACTGTAAACATTATTTGGTCTTCGCTAAATTGCTTCCAACTAAATTTGCTTTAGTTCATTAAAAACCATGTTTACCTCTTGTTACTTGACTATATCTCTGACAGGCTATGCAGATGGACCAGAATGGCAATTCTCAACAGTTAAAAGAATTCACTGCCTACCTTAAACAAGTGAGTAAGCACAGTACAGAGGTTTACAGCAATATGTTAATTCATCCTCAAACATGCAATGAGTGGATGACAAGTAGTGGGATGTCTGTAAACTAGCCGTATGGCTTAGCATATTGCCACTCTAAATTAAGTGTCTTATCCTATTCTAGCATTCTATCCTTCCTAAAATTGGACACAATGGACTCATAGATTCAAATTGTATTTCACCACAAAGGAAGTGACGAAGAGTGTGGCAGCTTATTCATTTCACATCTGTTTGGTTTCTTTTTTTATGTCACTACAACATCAAATTTTACTGTTCGTGCTTTTCTGATAGAGATTGTAGAGTAAACCCCTCCTTACAGATGCTTATATAGCGGACTATTATTCGTATAATTTCTACCTGTAAAATTCAGACATAGTTATCCCTAGAATACAAACACACAGCTTTGCCCCTGTGCTGTCTGTATTAGTGAGCTTTATTTGTTTTGTAATAGGGCAGCAAAGCCATTGTGGATAAGAAGTTTGAGATGGCTGTTCGTAGCTATGCAGAGGCTATCAATATAATAAAGCATCATCAGTGGCAATATGAGGTAACTATGGCTTGTCCTGGACCTAGCAGATTGAAAAATAATAGATGGCACAGGCCTGGGTTGTTTGAAAGGTGGATAATGCTATCCACTGGATAAATTGCTATCNAGCCTTACTCATGTCCATACCTTCAAATTTTTGTAAATTTTGTAGTGGTAGTATGTAATACTACCACTACAACTTTTTGTTTTGTGATATTTTGTACAAAGCTGAGTCAATTGATGAAGTTAAAAATCATTCGATGGATCAATAATTATTAGTCTTTTACTTTTGATGTGAAAAACCCTAACAATTTAGAGATTCTGTATAGATTTGCTTTCAAATGCTAGCTTTCTCTCTTCACTATTACATCTCCTATCTTGTTCCTCATTTCAGAGTGCACTTCAGACATTAATAAGAATTTGTCGCAATCCTCCCCGGCCTGATGCTGTTTGTAGATATTCGGATTGTTCATATAAAGCACAGATTTACCTTACAGATCCTGGTAAGTGAGTTTAATTGTTCTAATTAATGATTCCGAGCAAACTGGATCCAAGAAGAACTTAGAGTGGAAAATGGTCAGTGTGAAACCACCAGTAAATTGCTATCTCTCTGCTTTCAAGGAGAGGAAGGGGCATCACTATTGTGTTTGTAGTTCATCTTGTGTGATCGTCCAGGGAGGGTAGTTCTGAAAAGAACTGTTGTTGGTGACTGACATTTCGACAACCTGAGCGGAAGTCATCTTCAGAGTCAAGTGAATAGTGTTAGTCAGTTGATGATGTTATAAGTCTGGTTTGTGGAATGAAGATCACTTAATCCAATTTGATCAACTTTTTGATATGCTTTTACAGACTACAAAGGATATATACGGCTTATCTGCCTTGAAAACTGTAAAGTAGACTTCCATCCAGTCTGTTGGAAAAAACAGAAGGGCATTGAAGAAGGGAAGACCGGAGACAAGGTAACATAAAATTGTAATTTCTTAACTGGATTATTTAGGAAAGAACGAGCCTGAGTTTTCTATCAGACGAAATGAGGCATAGCCAAGTTGACTATTGCTCTTGGAAAATGATTGCAAGTAGTCTAATTGAATTATTAGACACGTAAACAGAGTACAGTACAAAATCTACAATTTTGAGTATATTTTAAGCCTAACATTAAGAATGATATTCAGCTTTAAGAGCAGTGCACACACGATTGTTGTCTATCAGTGAAAAGAAAATTATAAGAGAAATTACTGACAGGCTTACTATAGGCAGCATGATGTCTCAAATCGCTTCAGCTTGCTAGTTTTACTAGTTTCAAGCAGCTGCCTTGGACAGACTTGTCCAGTATTAGTGGCTGTTTCAGTTAAAAAAGAACAATCACAATAAAACTATCAATGGTGGCTTTGACTTCTGCATCAATAAGACCAGATTTGGTCCTCTCCACTTAATGTATTATACTATTTTGAGTCTCAATATTTATTTCCTTGTTTTGTATTTTTCTGCTCTAACTATAAGGACTTCCTGGATGACACATGCATGACCCCAGACTGTGTAGGCTCTGTAATCAATGTTCAGATCTATGATTCTGACGGACTTAAAACGGAGGTACAGTATTTTATAGTGGCTCTATGCCCCTCTGGGGGCTATAAGGAATTATGATGATGATGACAGTACTTTAGGACCTTGCTGACCCCTGTGTAAAGGGTAAAAAATGGCCACTCCTGCCCTGGCCTGATTCATTTATAAGACACTTTGAGTTAGAGCGGTTTTCAATTGAGTGTCGTAAAGCCAGAACCAAACCAATTACTTGCCAATTAGACTACTCAGCCAATCTCAAACCATAGTAAAATCGAAAGCAAAGTAATTGCCTGATTACTTTCAACGCTCAATTGAAAACCACTCTATGCAGTGTGATGTTTTACAGTTACTCTAGTTCAGCTGCATACCATTTGGAAAAAATAATTATTGGTCTTGTTTGTTTTAGTTTAAAACCGAGAAGTCAACTGCAAAGCTGGAAGCCAAACCCAAAGCTGCAAAGCCAAATAAAGTTAAACCAAGGTGGCCACAAAGCTCTTTATTGATATTCTCGTAGTGTAATTTATTTGTATACAGGGCATAATGAAAACGTTCTTTTCACTCCTTATTGTAGTTTGATATTTAGGAAACGTTCTAGGCTTCACAGTGAACTTAATAGCTTGTGTTTTAGATAGGTAATCACACAAGCACCATTAGGATTTGTCAGGTCATTGGCCAATAATTATGGTTGACTCCTCGTTTCTGATTTTGTTACTTAGTGTTCCTGGAGCTAAACAGAAGAAGAAAAAGGAAAAGGATGAACTTAAGATTGAAGAAGAAGCAAAAACGTCAGACACTGCAGAAGAAAAGGTGGTCAAGAACCCCCAACCCACTCCTCCCATACCAGGTAGGTTCTCACCCTGCAGGGTACATCTAGTAATTTGCCCTGTTTACAGTTGTAAAGAATCGCTGAAGATTTCAAACATGCATCGATCACTGACCAGCCTTTCTTTCTTTCCTTTAACCATGTAGCATTTTCTACCTTCTATAGTTATTATTTGAGATTTCTGTCAACTTGAAACAGTCTTCTACATTGAGAAAATAATTGCCTTGTAACTGTGACAATTCATTCTGTCTTTTGATGCTGTTGTTGCAGTGCAAAGAGAAGAGAAACCTTCCAACAAAGACCCCAGCCACGTGGAACAAGTAAGAAAGACTTGACATCTTTGAGAGAAATGTTGCCTTAAGCTGCTTGGCAGAGTGCCTTCATAAAATTGTTATAATTATTTCCTCCATTCTTACCCCTATGCTCTCCAGTTGTGGGCCTAGAAATCTGCTTAGAGAAGTAATTTCCCTCCCATTAAGATAGTTAGAGCGGTTTTCAACGGGTGTCGTGAAACCAAAACCAAAGTAATCACTCGAACCAATCACAACGTATACCGACAACCCAGTGAACCAATCAAAAGTCAAACAAAATGCATGTACTGTAGCTGCTGCAAAGCGCGGGAAAACCTGTGCAAGTGAGTCATGATTGGTTTGGGTTTTACTTTTGATTGGAGGAAAAAGTGGTGGGAATTTCTTAAACCAGTAGTGTAGCATTGTAATGCAAAACCAATGACTTTTCGCCACTCAAGTGAAACCTGCTCTATCATCATGTTGAAATAGCTTTTGAAGTGTTCCACTTGCTTGCCATCACAGCTGGACAGTTTCTTACCTCTGTGCTTCCCCTCCCATCCCCTGCTGATCTACTATCTATCAAGCAATCAATCAATCAATCAATTTAGCTACATGAAACCCAGAGAAAACTCCCCTCTAATTGGGAACACTATGGATATTAAACCAAAGATTCCTACAAGTGGCGTTGGTAGAGTGTGAAGTGGACATATTTTACCATCATTCCTTCAAAGACCGTTGATAATAAAATGACATTTTGCTGTTTTACGTTTGTTAAATGGAAAGAAATTTATTATCACCTTACACTAGTCAGTGAAGATTTCATGACCAAGACATTTTGAGAACCATACTAAGCTTGAAGTCAGTATGTTCTGCTGTTGTTGATGTCCCTTTTGTATCATTAGAAATTATATGATTTCTTCTCTGTTTGTCAGGGGGGATATACCTCATCAGATGCCAAGATTCCATCAGGTATGCAACGTATGATTATCAACTTCTCTCTGTCTCTTTTTCTCTCTGTTGAGGTCGGGACAGGCAAAGTCCTGTTTAGTTTCTCAGTTTCCTCTGTTGTCATAACGTCAGTCAACTGAGCTAATAAATAAAGCAAGCTCTGGTTTTCATTTTAAGCACAATGCATTGTAAAGCAAGACACGTTTACTAATGCTGATGATATTATATTTTCAAGGTGAAGGAGTCTTTATCTTGAAGAAAGATGATGACGAAGAACCAAATAAGGTAGTGAAGTCAAGGAGTTGTTTTCCTTTTGTTTCGTTTCTTGTTTAAAAGATGAATACATGTATGGTTGTTTACAATCTTGTTGAAAACTCCTGTTAGCAATGACTATAACAGTATTGTATACAGTCCCCTATTTTTTTTTCTTAAAAGGGATTGCCTCTAAAAGGAGTGAACAAGGCCAAAACCAAAAAGAAGAAGCTCAAGGTATACGAGTTATCTTAGATCTTCTATACACTGGACAACTATGTGACTCGGCCTATAGATTTTCGACCAAATGTTGGTCGACACTCTGTCGACTGTCTTCCTGACAGGTTACCGACAGGTTACCAACAGGTTACCGACAGGTTACCGACAGATTACCAACAGGTTTCCGACAGATTACCGACAGGTTTCCAACAGGTTAGCGACAGGTTATCGACAGGCCACCGACAGGTTTCCGATCGTTGTCTGCCAACAGTTAGTTAACAGGTTTTTCTGGGAACTGTTCTTCCCTTTCATCCAATATGTCATTAAAAAAAAAAAAAATTACAAATCAGCCCGCAAAGTACTGATTGTGTTTCACTTGTCCGTGTAGAACACACAGACCTTGGATGAATTCCTCAAGGATCATGGTGGACAGCAAACATTTAGACCAGCCTTTGGCGAAGATGGCGACGACTTGTGTGAAATCCCAGCTCCTAAATGGTGATAACTGCAGTATTACAGTTAGAATATAAAACAGTTTGTTTCCTCCAGTTAGTTAGACTCATTCACTCAGCAGTCAACATGTCAGGGGAAAAGTATTCCAAACCGGGGGAGGGGTACTTTCTTATTATATAGGTGTGTGGCCCCAAAGGGTATGGTTTTCGAACAGTTTTGGTCTGAAAAAGGGTAAAGATTTTAACCATTCTGGTCTGAAACAGGGTATGATTTTCACTCAGGCTTGGCGTTGGGTAATTTTTTTACTACAAGGAACTATTTTTTCCGCATCAACATTGGCATATTTGTAGCCCTTCTCAGATGTTGACGCAGATGGAAGCCATTTTTAGGTAGCTGCAGTCATATTAGAGCCGTGTACTAATTTTAAAAGTCTGAAATGGGGTGTTGCTTTTTCGCTCAGATCTGAAATGGTGTATGGGAAATCACCGATTATGGTCTGAAAACTTTGAGGAATACCGCCCCCTTGAATCCAAACAACCACAGAACAATGCAAATTGAACCTACTAATCCTGATTTACAGCCAGTTTTGTGGCAGGCGCCATGGCCGGTCAGGATCGAACTGTCCTGGTTCTAGCCCTGGCCGGGGTCAATTGTGTTGTTTTCTTGGCCAAGACTCTACTGTTCTTGCACGCTTCTCTTCACACGGGATAGTAAATAGAGACATTCAAACTCATTCTGCATTTCAATGTGGAAACATCGGCGAACGATGTTTTCATTTTCGTTGGTTGTTGTGAAATCCACTCGACGTTGTTTTTAAAAACATATTCCTTGAAATCGAAGGGTTACTGAGAATAGTTAAGTGCC